GATTGTCTTGATAAAAACAATGTATGATACATTTTTACTTCACAAATCAAATCAAATCAAATCAAATCAAATCAAATCTGATCAAATATTAACAGGAATGAAGGTACTCTATTACATGTTCAAACAACCATTTTGCTTGAACAATCTTCATGGAAAATAAGTGATTGATTTGTATCCCCATGGAATGATTATGAAGGGGGATGAGTAATATGATGTCTCATTATAAAGGCTGTAATGAATAATGCATTGAAGCCAGTGTATTAGGTTTTGATGCTTCATGTGTACATTCGTATGTATGAAAGAGTCTGATTACATTGCATGCTATAAATGCAAATGCATACAAGTATGTCATTCCCTTCACATACATGTATAGTCTATTTTGATGGCAAGTATAGGAAATTAAAGCCCCTCTAAAGAGTTGGGAGCCCCACAAATTTGATGGCAAAATTTCACTTGAATTGTATCATAATGTGAAAGAGGATGTCATTTAAGACACATTTTTTTTGCAAGGATTTTCAAAACAAATGGTTTTGAAGTTGAATATTGATGAAAGAATACCAAATTTAGGTTTTCTGCTTATAACAGAAAAGCCAATTATGTATTCTTTTATCAATATTTGTCTTCAAGCACATTTGGGGGGGGGGATCTGTGCTGAAGTGTGTCTTTAAAGATACTATGTCCCTTTTGCAGCCAACCTCAAATTCTGTAGAACTTTGCAGGAATTATGAATATGTCATGTATGTCCTATCTGTGAAATTTAAACGTTAGCAGTGTCCTAATATTCAAATTACTATAAAATTACTATACGACACTATTGTCATTATTGAGAGACTGACTGGCCTTTTTTCTTCTTTGGTAATATTAATAACATACATAAAATGATCTGTAAAGGGTTCGTCTACATCAATAACCCACTTCTTGTAATGGCCAAAATTAAACTGAATGAATCTTTGCGCAGCATAAAACGTACACCCATGCGGTACAATGGTCTGAAAAGCAAGACTATTACTTATTGGCTCTATAGTTCCTAAGTCGATTTGACAACTAATAGTCGTTATTTTTCCACTTAAAGACATTTTCAAGCGCCCTTATTTAAGGGGAGTTCTAAATTAGTATTATCTTTCAAATGCCATTGGAATTGAACCTTTTCATTTTTTGGCCTGCAAAAGGGACATGTAGTACCTTTAAATGACATCCTTTTTCACATTACGATACAATTTAAGTGAAATTTTGCCATCAAATTTTTGGTGAATTCGGGGCTCCCAACACTTTATAGAGGGGCTTTAAGACAAATGTGTTAGTCTGTTTAATTCTCCTCACACACAGTTTTCCTTCTCCATCATCCAATACAGTTATATGACAAAGGGAAGGAAGGAAGGAAGGAAGGAAGGCTAATATTTTTGGTCGTTACTAGTGTCATATTGATTCTCATCACATAGTTTGATTTTACAACTACTGTACATACATGTATATCTATGGTGAGGGAAGTGTGTGAAGTAAATGAAGGCCAATAATGGTCATGACACTTTGTATGAAAGGGTCTGATTAATTCTGTTCTCCACAAAGTCCATCAATACAGTGTGACTAGAGAAAGGAAAGGAGATTATAGAGTAACTCATGGTCATGTGTGATAATTACATGTATGTCGCAGGGATTACACTGTACAGCCCGTGGATACCACATCGACATTGAAGCTTTCCCTTTATGTTTATCCATAACATGAATCTGCCTTATATATTTGCTATAATTGATAACATTCATCTATCTTTCTCATGTTTGTTCTCTCTCTCTTCCTATTTTCTTTTTCCTCTTCGGTCTCTGTCATTTTTGCTCAACTTTAATCTCTCATTTTCATTTCATTGTCTCTCCTCTGTCTTTCTTTTCATCTCTAACCCCTTCTCTCTCTCCCCCTCACCCTTCTCTCCCCCCCCCCCCCCTCTTCCCCCCCCCCCCCTCTCTCTCTTTTTGACTCACCTCTTTCCTGTCTCTCCCTTTCCCTCTCTTTTCTGCATGTCTATCTATCTATCTATCTGCCTGTCTGTCTGACTGTCTGTCTATCTCTTTCTTTCCTCTCTCTCTCTCTCTCTCTTTCTCTCTCTCTTAGATCGAGGAGTGCATCAATAACGCCAACATTCAGCTAGGTATTGAGCTTCACTATGGAACCAGTGAACAGCCGTAAGTACCAGAGACATTCTCTCTCTCTCTTTCTCATCCATCTTGATTTAAAGCCCCACTGCACTACTTATAGCTATTTGCACCCTCTATATAGCAAACAATGCCTAATCGGTACCCATTGGTCCCCATGTCCCCTTTTTCTCATGTTGAGAGCTGGTTTGATGAGATAATCACCTGTCAGTGACCCTGCAGGGAAGTTTAATCCCTCCTGGCCAAATTAGTGCAGATGGGCTTTATACAAAAAATGCATTACAGAATATGAATATGCATGAATGTGCCTCCCAAGATTTTCTTTTTACAAATTTCCCTGTATACATGTACAATGTAGGTATTTCGCTTTCCTTTATGAAAAAACCCCAAACCTATTGATTCCTAATTCAGAGTGGTTTCCATTCATTTCTTGCCCATACAGGCCTGTTACTCCTGCTGCCCTTGAACAGGTAAGCAGTCGTACCGTCCTGCTACATCTGGGTTTGGCTACTGGTCTACACAGTCACATACCTGTTCTCTTTGACTATTTCCACCTGTCTGCTGTTTCTATGACGATACATGGCACCATTACCAGCTTGCATCAAGCTACTTTCAGGTGAAAATGATAATTACCATTCTTAATGCTAAATATATTACTCATTGCGGATATAGTATCGAAAATAATATCGCTAGTGACATTCGTTTGTCTCGCAATGTATGGTCAACAAGGGATCTAAAGGGACACGACGTTTTGTGTGCCGCTGCTACACCCGTAGAGTATAAAACTTGCTTGCTTACAATATATTTTATCACCTGACGAAGTGTAGCAGCGGCACTGGTGTAAAATGTCTTTTTATCCTCCAAAGTTAGTATTTAGGTAAGTGCAGGAAATGGACTGCGGAGCATTTATCGCCGGAGCATGTGTCATATCCAATACTTGTTTGTGAAAGAAAAAACGAATTGTATAAATATCAAACAATTCATCATATTGTCTACTAAGTATTGTAATGACCCTGATTGATGTATCGGTCCTTTTTAATCAGAACCTTGATTTATTCATTGCTTTTGATCGATGAGATCCCAAGGGCCTTGTGGTAGCTAAGCAACAATCTATTAGGGAATTTCCCTCTTCTAACAAGAGAATAATTAGATTGCTGAAATATGAATATGGTCTTCATTTGCTCATTAGAGGTTCTATTTAACTTTAATTTGTATACGTCAAAAACAATAAAAATTCAAAATGGAAATGGGAAGCAAAGTCAGATCAGTGGTGAAGGTGTTCCTTTGAAAGAACTACTTGAATTCTGAAAGATTAGGATTTAGTTATTTATAGCCATAGCATTGTGTAGATTTCAGTACGAATGGTTTTCCTCTTGAACGTAATATTAATTTTTCGTAAAAAACATTGATAGAATCATTTTTTTTTTAAAGTTGAAATTTTATTTTTGATAACGGTGATAGAATAAAATTCTTGTTATTCTTATTTAAAGTAACCATTCATTTTGTTGTAATGTTGAACATTTCTCTTTTGATTGTATATCATGAATGTTTATTTTTCTCTTCTCGCAGCCAAATTAAAAAACAAGCTAAAGCTAAGCTGTCACCGTGTCCCTAAGGACGTTGGCTCCACAAACATTTTTAAACCATTATTTTCCTATCTTGAGCAATTCTGTATGCCTTCTGGAAGGTGCTGCCTACTAGGATGTCACTTCCCTATCTCTTCCTTGGGCTTCCTTGCCTATTTGTTACAACAATAAACAAGCTACCATGTCAGAATGTCGAAAAGTAAATTTAATTTCCTTATTTCTCTTACTTTAATAGCGTCCCTCGAGCTCCTAAGTCTGGTTGGCTGAACAAGATCTCAGGAGGGAATTCCCCTGCCAAGCAGCTTCCTATACCAACCCTGGAATGTGTGCTCTTTGGCAATCAGACAAGGCCTCCTCTCAGTGCCAGTGTAAGTCCCTTGTAAAAATAATCCTGATGGCAGCTTATCATACAGCTAAACCAGGTGTGCTTTAATGGGGAAGTAAAATATTAACACCGGCCACAAAGGTCGGTTTAGCAGACGACAATTTGGCAAAATCAATAACACTAGCTACCGGAAGTTGACGATATTCAGAGGTCAAATTCTTAACACCAGCTGATTTCCATTTCAGTATTTAGGGTTGGTGTTAGTTTTTATTAAACACTAACACCAGCCCTAAACACCCAACTTGAAATCACTCATTGATTTATGTTGTCATCAATTATAGGTGAATGAAATTAATGGCCAATTTATTGTTTTCTGTTGTCATCAATTTAAGGTGGATAAAATAAATGGCCAATACATTGATTAATGTTGTCATTGATAATAGGTGGATAACATAAATGGCCAATACATTGATTTCTGTTGTCATTGATAATAGGTGGATAAATACACAGTAGCTGCCAACATACTAGCCCATGCGTACAAGACATTCAGCAGTCTTTGTCAGCTCCTACTCCGTATCCGTACTGGCTTGTGTCAAAGCTTCAATGAATTCATCTCATTCCTTCCTCCAAATCAACAATTCTGTGTTGGTAAGTATGGAAGATAAAATGTGATAGGAAATACTTGATGGGAGCAAAAACCTAGGTGTTTTTCAATTGCTGTGTGCTTAATAGCAGAATGTCAAAAACGGGTACACAGCCTGTGAATGTTCATTTCTTGAAAGTAATGGCCTTCTCTAACTCCCTCTACCTGATGCATTCACCCTATACATTGTCTGAATAGTGATAGGTTTGTATTATTTCTTCATCCTTTGACCAAATGCCTACTCTTTTTTTGTTTATTTATTTATTTATTTTTTTAAAATTGTATTTATTTATTTATTATTATTATTTTTTTTATTTATTTATTCATTTTTTATTTTATTATTATTATTATTTATTTTTTTTTTTTTGGGGGGGGGGGGGCAGGGGGGTAATTATGCAGAATTTTTCTGCTATGTACATAGTTTTTAATTTAAAGGAAAAAACTCAGTAGATTGTGATTTACTATGGATTAGGTTTAATGAATGGTAATATAATCTATGATATGAATTAATTTTATTTCAATTTACATGTATTTGTATGATTACTTTTTAAAGGAGTATAATATATTAAAATAGTCAGGAGATGACCCAGAGCATTTATTGCACTTTATATTATTTTTTTTAGATCAATTCAATGACAGGGAGAGGCTGGATGTGATGTGTGAAGTTGTCAGGGTGAGTCTTTTCATTCAAAACTTATTCTTATATGAAGAGTTTAATTCCAAAAGGAGCTAAATCAATTTTTGTAACTTTGGAGAAAAAAGAAATTGTTTACCAGATTTTGTACAGGTGTCTATTGAAAAGCAATATTAGAAGGTGCATTTTTTCATAATTGCTACCAAAATTTAGATAAATAATTTTGTTGAAAGACGGGTACTTAAGTGAACTATGTTCTGATATCAATAACTAAATTTTCATCAAAATTCGATTAAGCTCCTTTTGGAATTAAGATCTTCATATGTAGAGGTGTCGTAGCCGACTTGACTTGACTTGAAATACATTTTAGGTCGTGGGATCGATTCCAGACACGGCATTAATGTTCTTTGGCAAGGCATTAAGCTACATTCGCCACTCCATATCCAGGAAAGAAATGGGAACCTGGTAAGATGACAAAAGCCGTTGTTAAGGAAATTACCATATGCCCTCACGGTGGTCATATGATAGGAATACTCCTCAGGGATTGGAGATGGTGCACATTGTGTGAGAATGAATCCAATGACGGGAGTAATAATGTATCTCCTGATGATTTGTATTTATAGCAGGAAGAAAGACCGGCAGACAGACATAGATAAACAAAGACATAAAGAGATAGATAGATAAACAGGCGCTGTAAAAGAGATGATTATGTTGTAATAGCTTATTTTGTTACACACAATCTGGAAAAATTGAATAAATGACAACAACATATATAATTGTGCACACAATTTGCTTGTTAACATTCTTTATTATGAGTCAGTCTTTATTTGTTTGTTCATTTTAAAGACCTGTTACATTGAGATGTAAAAATGCTCAAATCTCTTTGTAGGATTTTTTTTTTTAGGGGGGGGGGCGATAAAAAGGGGGCAAATAATTATAACTTTCTCATATGTTGTTGGTTTGAATTGGTGATATGAGTCACAGGATAATTTGGTTGTTACATTTAAACTGTATCCCCTTTTCTGCGCATGAAAGTGATTTGCATTTGATCTTGTGATTCTTCTTTCACGCACAGAATCTGAACAGCGAGGAGGAGATTGTTGCATCAGTAAACACGTCCCTGGCTCAGCTCTCAGGTGAGATCTGTCTTGTTTGGACCAAGTACATGGACGTCCTGGTAGGCCAGGAGAGAGTCAGGGTGCATCTAAGGGATAAATACCATCACGCCAGGGTAAGTCCGGGCTCTGTTTCATCAAACTTGATATCAATAACAAGTTACAAGCTACTGTTATAAGCTACTGAAATCATGGCACCTGATTGGCTGAGAGCAAATTTGTCATAGAAATTTAGCAGTTGTTATAGATAACAAGTTTTGTGAAACAGGGCCCTGATGATTGTACTCTCAACAAAGAGGACGTACCCTGGGGATTGTTGACAAATGTGTTGAAGCCTCTCTAAAGTGTTGGGAGCCCCAAAATTTGAATGCAAGATTTCACTAAAGCTGAAAGAGGATGTCATTTAAGACACATTTCTGTAAGGATTAATATATGTTTGAAGTTGAATATTGATGAAAGAATACCAAATTTAGGTTTTTCTGCTTACAACAGAAAACCCAAATTATGTATTCCTTTATCAATATTTGTCTTGAAATAATTTTTTGAATAAATCCTACACACAGGTCCTTCTGAGTAAAATTTGACCATGCTGTGTAGAATATTACCATGCAGTATATTGTCTTTTTTTCCTTACCAGTATATACTTTTCCTACAGCGCGTAGAGATGTCAACAAATATATTATGTGCTTTATAAGAACAGGGGGGTGTTTCATAAAGCCGTTCGTAAAGTTACGAATGACTTATATATGACAAGCCAAATAGGATGCTCAATCATGTTTTGACTGCATCAACTAAAGTTAAACTGTGCAGATGTAGATTAACATTCTTATTATAACAAACATTTTTAATACAAAGTATATTTTTTGCCATAATTTAATTGAGGTTATTGGAAATATAGTCACACTTTGTGAAAACATCAGGAAAAACTTTGGGCATCCTATCTGGCACTTCATATTCAAGTCGTTCGTAAAGTCATGCGTAACTTTACGAACAGCTTTATGAAACACCCCCCTGTACTATTATTATATTATTATTACACACACACAGGTGCAGCGATTCTCGGAAGCATTCTTCACCCTGAGCCACCCGAAGTCCAACTGCCTAGCCTTCAACGAGCTGAGTAGTATGGGATATTCCTCCATCGTCCAGACCCTGAGGAGCTCAGCCTATGGGTCAACTCTACCACCTCTATCCATTGAATGCAGTGAGCTGGATGGAGATGCAAACTCTGTTCCGATTGTCTTTGAGGATCGTTACCGTGATGATATCACAGAGAGCCCTGCAGGTGGGGATAGCTAGGTCACATTCTCTAAATTTGATAATTTATTTACTTGCTAAATATATTACTCATTACGGATGTAGTATCGAAAATAATATTGCTAGTGATATTTGTTTGTCTCGCAATGTATGGTCAACAAGGGATTTAAATGACCACCAGGTGAAAAAATATAATGTAAGCAAGCAAGTTTTATACTCTACAGGCGATCCAATGGTCAATTAATTCAATCAATAATTGGAACAATAGCGGACAAGGCCTATTGGCCGATGCACACATGTGCTCAACCAATCAGCGGGCCACTGGCTCGGCCCGCCTGCTGGTTGGAATCAACCGGAGCGGGCCGGCTGGACGGGGAGTGTCATGGCGGCGTAGAGTACGCATCCAAATTTCGGGGATATGTATCCCGTTATCTTTGTTGAAATTATTGGGATTGAGACGTATATGGATAGCTTCTTTAACCCTCTGTTTGTACCAATGTCTTTCTTGGTTCACCTATTCATTGATTTACTTATTCATTTATATTTTGAATTCTTGGAAGATGCATTATTAGGATAATATCTGGTTACAGTTTGTAGAAGGACATTAGCTTTGTGACTAGATTTGCCATGGGCTGCCTAACAGTTTCTCGCATGTTAGCTATTCAGCAGCATTTCCATTGTTACTTTAATAAGCTATCAATCATTGTAATCGAGTTAGGTCAATTGGAATTATGTTCAAATGATTTACAATCATTTTTTTCCTGCTATCTGACTCCTAAGACAGTCGTGACATTACAGATGCAGATTGGTCCATGGTTGTAGCGTTGCTTACCAAATAAATAGTTCAGCTTGACACTCAGTTTTATTGTGTGGTTTAGGCATGTTCTAGATGAATGAACAGATAGCCAAGCAAATTATATTGTAGGGTATGTAAAGGTGTGATTGTGTTAATAATGATTCAGTTTTCCCTGACATCTTCTACTGTTTCAGAAAGGAAACTCAACCTTGAAGAAGTAACATTGAGCCTAAAGAACCTCACCAAGCAAGGATCACCTTTCCGCACCACCAAAAGCCGTTCGCCATTCGCTGAAAGAAGGACTCGTAAAGAGCTCATTCAGGATGGGACAGACGGTAGCGTGCGTAGCAAGTCAAAGAAAGGAAAAATGAAATCCATTAAGCATATCAAGCCTGATTTTCTACGAAAGGGCCTTGGCTCACATTCCAACCATGGGGGCGCCATTCCTCGAGACATCCGATGCTACGAGATCAAGAACGAGGCTTGCGCAGGGATGCAGAAGCGTTCGTCCTTGAAAGAGAGTGGCAAACAGACATCCCCAATGCTATCAGGTGCGGTGCCAAACTCAATCTCCATGCCAATTCTCTCTCCTAGTATGGGCTCAACGTCCATGGGTGTGGATGAGTGTAGTGATTATGACAACCTGGAGGATGGCCGCGTTGCCAGGCCGCTCAGAAGCACTCAGTCAGCCGAAGACATTCTAAATGGTATGCATGATGGGCAGAGTGATGCAAGTACATGCAGCATTACAGGTGATCCTCCGTACGGAAGCAATCCTCTGTTAGACGCTGTCCTGAACCCTGAGAGGGCTGCACAGGGCACCACTGAAAACATGGCATTGTTAGAAACAGATGACATTGATATCAGTCTGCTAGATCATACAGGGCTTTCAGATCAGAGTGACCAACGCAGGAGTGTCAGGTTGAGCTTCCTGCAGAACGGGGATCCAAACGAGGACCAGATCTTGAACAGCCTCTCCAAGTATCTTCAAAAGCAGATGACGATGTCGGAGGCTAACCTTCGGAAGGCGGAACTAGAGGCAGGAGAGGGCAGCTCTCTACTAAGGAGGGAAGAACAAGATGTGCAATCGAACGGAGGGGCAATAGATAATGGGGTTGAGAGTTCCACCAATGATGAGGAGGTCTTTGATGACCTTGCCATCAATGGAATCACTTTAGATGATGATGAAGAGTTAGAGGTGGAGGGGGCAACTGCAATAATCTCCAATGTGCAATCCTCTGCTGTTATCAATGGGACACATGCAGAATTGAACGGTAAGACTATACATGAAGGAGGTGTTCAACAAACCAATGGCAGTATTAGAACTCAAATTGGCTTACAGGAAGTGGATGGTGCTTCCTGGCCTAGCGGAGCTACATCGATGGACGGAGCAGCCGAGATCGGTGTTATGGACAATACTTACGCTAGGAGAGACATATCATCATCTCGAGAAGGTCTCATCTGCGATCAGCCTGAAAGTGAGAATGCAAACGATGCAGTAGTTATCACGGACATTGAACCCACTAAGAAACAGAGAGGTCATAAACACAAGAAGGGACCCCATGAACACAAGCACCACTCCAGCGGTGGAGGGGTGGGGAGCTGCGCTGGCTGTTTCTCTTTCATCCACTCCTCCGCATCTCCTTCCAACTCCTTCACTGAGCCATGTCTCGTGAAACCAGTATTACCGTTAGAATCGTCCACCAGTACTTCATCGTCCAGCGTGAATGCAGTGGGTCAGAGTAACAGTGTGTCCAGTGCAGGCTCTCAGGAGGGCATGACTGACGGTGAGGAGCACAGGCCTAAAGATGGACAAAGGTAAGGCAACCAACGTTAGGATGACCTCTATAAAGTGCTGTGAAACTGTTTAACATGTGTAAGAGTGCCATATTTATGACCTTAATATTATAGATATAATGACTGCTATGACAGTTATAGTTGTTTTTATAGGCTCTTGGGGACGTTACATCCTGATAATCACCCGAATGTAACGTCCCTGAGAGCCTCTAACAACAAATATGCCTCATATATTGAAGCAGTCTTTATATCGTCTATATGCCGGATTCACAAACAAATCTACAAAGAATTCTTACCTTATCGTGTTCTTGAGTAAAAACTTGTTAAAACATCACAGAAAATCTGAGACAATCTCTGGAAATCTGCGCTGGAAAGTTGCCTGAATGTTACAATCATTTGGGAATCGCACACACACTGCACTGTATTTTGTATCCTCGCCCGCACAAAGGAACTTTTTACATGTAAACCAATGGGATCTCATCAAAATTTATTTACGAGGCTGACAACCTTAGAATGACCTTCAGAAATGACATCATACTCTATTCTTTCCATTTCAGCTATGTGAATGCCAGAGTCGCGTTCAAGCAGAAGCTTCATTACCCTGGTCAGATGTATTGTGATCTCCAAGAGAGAGCATCTCAGCTTCCATACTTCAGCATCCCTCCTGCCACCCCGCATCAAGAGGACGAGGAGCAGGGGGTTGAGGTCCATCTCATCATCTGCGTTCATGGGCTGGATGGAAACAGGGCTGATCTGAGACTGCTTAGGACGTATCTAGAGCTGGGCTTGCCTGGAGAGAAACTTGACTTCCTCATGTCCGAGAGCAATCAGGTATGGCATTACGGATTTCCCGTAATTGGTACGGAAATTAACGATCATTACGGCAGTACGGAATGTTGTCTAAAATTACAGATTACAAAAAGAAAAAAAAGAAAAAAACTCGCTGAGAAAGACGGAAAAGTATCAAGTATTCTCTTAATATAAATTTCATAAGCCAATTTTTCATGAAAAACTGCTGTGTTGACCTGAAAATCAATATATAGCAACTTTGTGTGTGTGTAAAACCACCAAAAATTTCAGATAATCATGTGCGCATGCGTCCGCGCAGTGTTGGCGTGCCGTTAGAAAATTACTGATTTTGAGCCTTGAGATTACTGATTTTCTGTTCTGGAGGTTGGCAGCTCTGCAATAATTACATTTTTTAAATGGTATCATCGTTCTGGAGCTAGAAAAATGTTAACTCATTTGCTGTAACACATAGTTAATGCCCTTCTGGCTCCAAATAGAGGATTGGTTCTGGTTTACCTCATGAACATGGAATAGTATCTCCAAAATGCTCACTATATGGAATTTCAGGGCGCTTTTGCAATTGTTACCCTGATGCAACTAATCTGCCATAAAGAGGCATTTATTCTTGTAGCTACGATATACATATCTATCCATAGGTAAAGTCAACTGTCGATAAAATGATGAGTATGGTACGACAGGTCACTCAAAGATTTTTACATTTTTGAGGCACTTCATGATCATTTTGAAGCGCAATTTTTTTAGGGCTTCAATATTACACCATATCACAGACACATGTAGGGCCATGCATCTCAGATTTAACATTGTTTAACGATGCCTTTAAGTTAGCACAAGCATTTCTCACTACCCTAATCTTGTTATTCTCTCTGTATCCAGGGTGACACATTTGCCAACTTTGAGACGATGACGGACAGACTGGTCCGAGAGATCGTCTACTATGTGGAGGTCTTCAGGGTCAAAACGAACAGGGTCAGGTAACTATGTCCTCAAGGTTGCGTAGGGTCTATAAGAAAGTACGTTCATACACATCTGAAATCGTTAGCTGAGAGCCAGAAGGGTGTTCACACTTGTACAAGCATTGCTTTTTAGTGGACCCCTCTGTTTCCAACATGTATTTCTTAAATTTGTTTTAAATGCTTATAATTGATTTGTTGGAAACATGAATAAATTTGAAATTTGAATTTGAATTTGAATTTGTTAGTGTTGTGGTTAATAATATGAGTTAATGCCCTCCTGGCTCTGAGAAGACAGAATAATCAATTTGCCAAAATGTTCACATTCATTCAGATTCTTCCCATGCAGTGTGATTGATGTAGTGTTACCACCATATAATAATAATATCATTGGTCAATACATTTGTGAACTTGAATATATTTTTGGGTGATATTGATGTTGGTTTGTCCATTTTGTTGTAGCACAAATGTACTTGCATTCTCTAGAATAGTATCAACTTGAATGCCAATATTCAGGCTTTGCCCAATCTAGATAGGCTTGATATTAAACAGGAGACCATTCCAATGTGTCTAGGGCTGTTTCCAATCTAATGAAGTAACCTCCCTCAATAAAATAAAAAGTAAAAAGTAAATTCCACCATTTTTTCTCTTGTCTCTCTTTATCCACCCAGCTTCATAGGTCATTCTCTAGGTAACATCATCATCAGGTCAGCGTTGACCAGACCGGAGCTAGAACCATTCCTTGGAAAGCTTCATACTTTCCTTTCCTTGTCTGGACCGCACCTGGGTCAGTTATACAACAGCAGTACCATCGTCAAGACAGGTTGGTACTCATACACATGTGTGTAGCTATCAAAACACTCACAAGTTCCTAACTGCTGCTTATAAGTATCAGCTTGCATGGTGATGTAGATATACAGTAGGCTTGCTATTGCACCATGTGAGAGAGGGGGAGGACTCCTGACAACGGATAGTCAACCTGTTCGAAATGTCTGGCCACTCCTACAACCCATCCTCTCCAACCGGCGCTATAGTTCTCCTTAGAACTATAAGCTAAGAAAGATAACCAACAGTCTTTTTCAAGACTACACCAACAGTCCTTTTCAGGACTACACACCCTAAAGAAAGAAAACAAAAAAATACTGAGTCCTTTTCAGGACTCCCCAATCCTCCCCCTCTCTCACATGGTGCAACCGTAAGCCTACTGTATAAGTTCCTAATTGTAATCCTGGACCTAACACTAGTCTTAACTCTAGAACCATTCCTTGGAAAGCTCCACATTTTCCTCTCTATCTATACCGTACCTGGGGTCAGCTATACAAGAGCAGTAACTTTTATTTCTATGATACAGTGTAACCTGGTTTAGTGACCACTTTTGTATAAAGATCACATTTTAATGTTTCCTGTGACAATTGTTTCTCATAGAAACCTTTACAAAAGGAACATATATATAAAGACCACCTGCCTATAAAAAGACCACTTTTTATGTTTCCCTTGAGTGGTCTTTATAGACAGGTTTCACTGTATATGTTTTATGTTTTTGATTGATTATTTTGTTTGATTTGATTTGAACCAGGTATGTGGCTGATGCAGAAATGGAAGAAGTCCAACTCCTTGTTACAGCTAGCTCTGAGAGACCACACAGACCTCAGACAAACCTTCCTATACAAGCTCAGTGAAGATTCAGGTTTGTCACTATCTACATACAAAATATTTGTTTGATGGGGATTTTGGTTAATTGATGATTATGATTGTTTTACCTGACTGCTAGAAAGCATGTATATCAAACACATGAAACCCACCCATTGCTTCAAAATATTACCATTTACTACCATTTAATATTATGCAAAAGAAACCCCTACAATCTTGTCTTTGATATTGTTTCACTTTCTGTAGGTCTGTCTAACTTCAAGCATGTAGTGTTGGTGGGTTCTCTTCAGGATAGCTATGTACCCATCCACTCAGCCAGGATAGAACTGTGCAGAGCAGCGCTCAAAGATAGATCATTATATGGTAAGTTAGCACCATAATACTCCATACGAAGGAGCACAGGGGAGTGTTTCACAAAGAGTAAGATCGAATTTAAGTGGACTTAACTATGGCAGGCCGTTCATGCCACTGTTTGTCCATACCATTTACTGGCCTTGGTCTCTCAAGGGACGTAAAAATCATGGTCACAAGTCTATAGAAGTTATATTTTTGATAGTTCATTATTGAAGGAAAATATATTATCTAAATATCGTAATTGAGAGACAAATGTTGAGAGTAAATTAGTGGCATGAATGGCCTGCCATAGTTAAGTCCAACTTAAAGTCGATCTTAGTCTTTGTGAAACACTCCCCTGGTGTAGGCTTTATGCTGTGAGATGCTTATTCTAACCTGAGATGCATTTACAAGCAGCTTATCTTCACTGTGTCATAAAAACCTCTGAAGATATATCCTCGTGATCTTGTGAGTGAGAATCCAGGGGAGTGTTTCACAAAGACTACTTAGATCGACTTAAGTTGGACTTGAACTATTGCAGGCCATTCATGCCACTAGTTCCTCCAACCATTCCTGTCGTTGGTTTCTTAACCCTTTCTAGCCTGGGGGGGGGGGGGGGGGGCTTCTTTCACACTTGCATATGACGATAATGTTCACAAATTATTGTTCACATCTTCCCAGAACTCGACCTTCTCTTTAACACCCTCCTGGGTTCTAAAAGATGATACATAGATAGACAAGCTGGTCTTCTGCAATGACCTTTGACCTGTTATTTTGTTCACCTCCACAGGATCTGTTTACACGGAGATGTTAAATAATCTCATGAAGCCCCTGGTCACCAACCCTGAGGTATCCATCGTCCGATACGACGTCCACCACACCCTCCAGACCTCTGCTAACTCGTTGATTGGCAGAGCAGCTCACATAGCTGTCCTAGACTCTGAGCTCTTCATTGAGAAGTTCATGATGGTCGCCGGTCTCAACTTCTTCAAATGAAGACCTCATCTAGCCCCTGGTCACCAACCCTGAGGTATCCATCATCCGATACGACGTCCACCACACCCTCCAGACCTCTGCTAACTCGTTGATTGGCCGAGCAGCTCACATAGCTGTCCTAGACTTGGAGCTCTTCATTGAGAAGTTCATGATGGTTGCTGGCCTCAACTTCTTCAAATGAAGACCTCATCTAGCCCCTGGTCATCAACCCTGAGGTATCCATCGTCCGATACGATGTCCATCACACCCTCCAGACCTCTGCTAACTCGTTGATTGGCCGAGCAGCTCACATAGCCGTCCTAGACTCGGAGCTCTTCATTGAGAAGTTCATGATGGTCGCTGGGCTCTACTTCTTCAAATGAAGACCTCATCTAGCCCCTGGTCACAAACCCTGAGGTATCCTTCGTCAGATATGACGTCCACCACACCCTCCAGACCTCTGCTAACTCCTTGATTGGCTGAGCAGCTCACATAGCCGTCCTAGACTCGGAGCTCTTCATTGAGAAGTTCATGATGGTCGCTGGGCTCTACTTCTTCAAATGAAGACCTCATCTAGCCCCTGGTCACAAAACCCTGAGGTATCCTTCGTCAGACATGACGTCCACCACACCCTCCAGACCTCTGCTAACTCCTTGATTGGCCGAGCAGCTCACATAGCCGTCCTAGACTCGGAGCTCTTCATTGAGAAGTTGATGATGGTCGCTGAACTCAACTTCTTCAAATGAGCTAAAAATATAAATATAATGTATTACATCCAGCTGGAGACTTATCCACTACACCACAACAACTATATCATGTGGATACATGGGACCATCCTCTTAACTGCCAAATTAGGTTTTGGAATTTAATCTCTGCCATGTATTTATTATATTAGACAATGCATGTAATCTACAGTAGTCTTTCTTGTGTCACTTGGAAAGATGTTTGTTGTAGATATTGATTGAGTCACTAAACCTGTCATTTTATAGATCACCATTGACGATTAGTCTTTCCTGCTCCTAGTGATGGACACCTTGTATTAAAGGGACATTCTTTAGATAGAATCCTGGGTCTTTACTGCCAAACTTCCAAAACTGCATTGAGACTCTACGCTGATATGCACTGAAAAAAGGTTAATGGAAAAGGGGGAGTCCACCCTGATATTAAGTTGGTTTTGATAGAAGCAGAAGAGTGAGAGGAACAGGTCAGTGAAAAAGGCCAACTTAATATCAGGGTGTACTTCCCCTGAAGTTATCATTGACCATCTTCAATGAGATAGATCTGTTAACAGAAGGAACTCCCATTGTGTATGCAATGTTAACCCAAATGAAAATTAAATGTATCGTGTATGCGTCTTTGGCAACTACCTTAACATACTTACTTACAACTATTCTGCACAGCACATGTCTTAAAAAATTATGGCTAATCTCGTTCTGTCTCTGCTTGAGGTTTTTATTTTGAAACTTTCACAGAAATTGTCAAGAAACACAGGTGAACACTTTGTAAAGATGGTCCAGAGTATTTGATATCCAAAACCATGTGTTTTACTATTTTATCATAAGTTTTATAGTGAGGTTAAAAGCACTATTATTAATTTATATTGCAAAATCTTGTAGGCAAAAACGTTTTTGTTTAAATTTGAAATGCTAATTGAATGTCCACATTATCTTTTTATCACAAGAAAATGAATTTTGAATTGAATTTATCACATTTACTTATTTTCAGCATAGAATATAGTTCAAATACACACTGGAATCATGAGGCATACATGCATTCATAATTATAAATCATGTCTACAATGTAGTTATCACCTTTGACAAGCAAATAAATATGACGGTTAGATATCAGGAATTTCTTGATTTCCAGATATGATGAATTACGTCCATCCTGTATGTATGCAGACTCTGTACATAGTTTAAAAGTTTTAATGCAATACCAAAAAGAAAAAAAAAAGTGTTGTGATATACAAAGGGGCATTATAAAGAAATAAGACAAAAAATCAGTATTGCTGAATTGATGCAGTATGTACAGCTTTCAATAAATCATTAATACAGTTAGACTGGATGCATGAATGTATCCATGTATCCTTTTTGTTGTGATGACAAATTTAAAAAAAATGTATGATATAAAAAAATAATGCTTGATAATACTAATTTGGATGTGATAGTGTTGCACAGTGTGAGTAGCAATTTGTTCAGCCAGCCTCAGGAGAAGGCAATGCATTGTGTTGCAAAATAAGTGAAGAAGGATCATGTAGACCTTTTTATCTTCTTTAGATTAGATGAAGAAAGAAAACAGGTTGTGTGCAGTCCAGTTGATACATTTAGCTTTTTTTTTTAGATACAATATTTAGGAGAAGTATACTGTACCACTCTAATTCAATTCAATTTAATGTGATTTATTTACCATCTGACAATATCAATTTTTATATATAATTATATAATTTCTCTTCTCAAAACCATTCCAATGTCGGAGTGCCAAGAGACTCACGGTGTAACAGACTTAAGCTCTATATAAGAAGCTAATATTATTACTCTAACTCGGATCTAAACCATGTTTCTGTAAAAAAAATTCTGATACTAATGTAATAAATCTCTTCATTCTTGCCTAAATAATGTATTCAAAATAACAGAAATACTTTTGAGTTATATATTATGTATAATCTTAATTTCATAGGGTTAAAATAACTTTTTCATTTGTAAATAGATATTTAATCCAATTGAGCATCAATATATTCCTATCATGTTATATATGATATATCAAATGACTTAAAAGTAAGCCTCATATAGGTATGATTAATAACCCTCATTGACATGTATTTAATACAGAATGATGACACCATTTATAATGCACTTTTTGGGTATCCCAGCTCATCTGACAATTTCTACTCAATTTCCTGTGTTGTGATACATTTTGATCTTAACTGATATCAACTAATAATTTATATGACTGGTCATTAGGGGCAGATTAATTGGACTTCTCAAAGAGATGTCCATGGTTGCCAGTGTAAAATGTTTTAAACCTTGAATAGTAACAAAGACTGACAATAATACTAGTAATAAGATTCCTTGTTTATATAGCACTTAATACATTGACGACGTCTCTAATGCCGAGTCACACCTTCGCGTATTTGGCTTGCGTTTTGTTGCGTATTAATGGCAAGCCGTTTTAACGTTATTCCTATTTCTTGATATTAAGAATTACCATTGCTTTACAACAGAAATGATTTCTTGATATCAAGAAATAGGAATAAATGTTAAAACGGCTTGCCATAAATATGCAGCAATACGCAAAGGTGTGACTGAGGCATTAGCGCTTTACAGATATATTATTACAACAAAGACTTTGACTCTGAACCTAGGTTAAATTACAGACTTCCTTGGATATGGTGCAGTGGAATGGGGTGACATTTTGTTGGGTTATGTCTCTTGGGAAATAGGGCAGGTAGCAGTTAAGTTATTTGTTTAGACGCTCGATGTGAAGTACTGCTGTTAGCTTGCAGTGATCAAACAGAACAGATCAGTTTCTTTTGACTTTTGCTTTAAGAAAAAAATAAAATGAAGGAGAGCTGTGAGCCATGTATGTGGCTATGAAAATCTCCATATGAGCTCTAGTAAAAAAACAATTAAATATATTTAATAGAATTCTCAAGCAGACATATGACTACCGTATGTATTTGCAAACATATTTCTAAAGTTCTTGCGTCAGTATACACTGGAGATCATAGCTGCATGTATCTTGAAGTGATGTTCGAAAGACCAGGTTTGTATGTACATGTATTTGTCTTTCTGGAAATTATGACACAGTAATATTACTTGTGTGCTTTTTGTAAATTTCACTGTCAAATCTATTTCTAAAACAATAGTACATTTACATGACATATATATTCACAAAATGTTAAAGGCTGCAATGATTACTCATGCTTGAGTCTCCGATCACCCCAGCTATTTTTGAGGATCATGGTAATACACATGTACACAACTTCTGCTCCAAAATGACACACAAAGAATGTTTAAAAAATTAACATTTTGATCAACGACTTTTGATGCAAGACTTCATATTACCCCTATAAACGTACAAATTAAAGCAAAGGGTCAGTCTTATTTGGTTGATAGCATTATTTATATAACTAATGTTAATTCCAACTTTTGTCTCCTCTAGGTTAAAAAGATACTTGTATTCAGTGTTGTAGGTCCAATCCAATTTATGCTACCAATTTTAGAAAAATAAGAAGGCATACTGTAATATAAAATGAATTGTTGTAAGTTACCATTTATTGCTTTTCCTGAAAAAAAAGGTCAATTCTGCAATTGTAGGGGCTGACCTTATGAAAAATAAAGAAAATCTTTTAATCATCAAATTTTTGGATCATTAGATTGAGCTCCTGTAGATAGAACTGGAGTAGACATACCACAGGATGCTTTGTATAAAGGTCTGGGTTAAAAAAAAGCAGTGCAAGGCTAACAATTTTAAATGTACATAGTGTATTTATAGATATTCATTGCATATAATATTCAGGAACTTGTACTAGGGTAATGTTGTTATATTGTGTGTATATAGAGTTGCTAACGAGACAAAACAAAATGTTATTAGGCATGTTTTATATGATTGTATGAAAATTATGAATTCTATTACATGTACAGTGGTATAATTATTATATGAAACAGAATAAAAACAATGTTGACTTAATTATTTTGGCAACCCTGTGTCATTTATTCTTGGAATATTCACAGAGTATTGATTTACAAAGTTGATATACAAAGTTGATACACAAAGATAAAGAACTCTAATTTCTGATTAGTAATGCATAGATACAGAAAGAAAAAATCTTTCCAAGGATGTAAAACTTTGCTGTGTCATGGACTAAAGGGTTCAATCATATGTTATGACTGTCAGAAGGGCACTGGTATAATGTACATTTCAATTCTTCTCCCCCTATTTTTAATAGAATAAATCAACTGACATTTTCTGGTCCCATCTTTTCTTTTTGCCTGTTAAGCTAACAAGAAATTTCATCAATTTGCCAAAAAGACATTACATGGGAGGAGGAGGGGGGGGGGGGGGGGTTCATACCCTTCCCCATCTTCTATCCATGCCCCTCCCTACTCTGTAATTCTGCTTGTTTTAAAGTTACTCCATGAGACACTGTACATGTACCACAAAAACAATGACATTTTACTAAGGTAGGAAATTATGAATAAGAGCTACAATTTCATTACACTTCTGATTTTCAGATCAATGTAGTCCATACAATGTATATGAGGTATTGAACATTAGCTGAGCTGTCGAGTTTGAGGGCAAATCAAACGTAGGAGATTATTTTCAAAAAAGAGTTTCAAACATGTATATAGCGGTATTTTTATTATTTCATTACACATTTTGATGTTCAGATCAATGTAGTCCATTATAGCTGAGATGTTTTCATAGTTTGTAGTCAAATCTATACAAACAATGATGTTGCATTCAATGAATTATTTGTTTGGAGCCAGGAGAGGTTTAACCCATACTGACTTTATACCCTTCTGGCTCTGAACAGACAATATACAGTCAAACCTGCTTTAGTGACCACCTGTCTACAAAGACCACCTGTCTACAAAGATCACCTGTCTACAAAGACCACCTGTCTACAAAGTCCACATTTTTTTTCCCCTTGAAAATGGTTTCTCATTGAAAAATGTACTACAGGAACCTGTACATAAAGACCACCTTCCTATAAAGACCACTTTTCTTGTCTCCCTTGGGTGGTCTTTATAGACAGGTTTCACTGTATAAGCATGTATACAGCCAACAACTACATTATTTATACCCTTTACAAGTTTCTTTTCTCAAAATTATGTGAAAATTGATTTATCCTGATTTAAATTTCTTTAGAATGTAAAAGTATTCAACAAAGGCCCTATTTCAACCAATCAATCTTTCACTCTTGATTTAAGAAAAACATAAAAAAACTTTTAAAAAAGTTTAAAAGGGGTATGAATAAATTAGTTGTTAATTGTATGCATATGTACCAAGTCAATCTAACATGGTAAGGAACTCTGCACCTATCATCTTGTACCAAGTCAATCTCACATGGTAAGGAACTCTGCACCTATCATCATGTACCAAGTCAATCTAACATGGTAAGGAACTCTGCACCTATCATCATGTACCAAGTCAATCTAACATGGTAAGGAACTCTGCACCTATCATCATGTACCAAGTCAATCTAACATGGTAAGGAACTCTGCACCTATCATCATGTACCAAGTCAATCTAACATGGTAAGGAACTCTGCACCTATCATCATGTACCAAGTCAATCTCACATGGTAAGGAACTCTGCACCTATCATCATGTACCAAGTCAATCTAACATGGTAAGGAACTCTGCACCTATCATCATGTACCAAGTCAATCTAACATGGTAAGGAACTCTGCACCTATCATCATGTACCAAGTCAATCTAACATGGTAAGGAACTCTGCACCTATCATCATGTACCAAGTCAATCTAACATGGTAAGGAACTCTGCACCTATCATCATGTACCAAGTCAATCTAACATGGTAAGGAACTCTGCACCTATCATCATGTACCAAGTCAATCTAACATGGTAAGGAACTCTGCACCTATCATCATGTACCAAGTCAATCTAACATGGTAAGGAACTCTGCACCTACCATCATGTACCAAGTCAATCTAACATGGTAAGGAACTCTGCACCTACCATCATGTACCAAGTCAATCTAACATGGTAAGGAACTCTGCACCTATCATCATGTACCAAGTCAATCTAACATGGTAAGGAACTCTGCACCTATCATCATGTACCAAGTCAATCTAACATGGTAAGGAACTCTGCACCTATCATCATGTACCAAGTCAATCTAACATGGTAAGGAACTCTGCACCTATCATCATGTACCAAGTCAATCTAACATGGTAAGGAACTCTGCACCTATCATCATGTACCAAGTCAATCTAACATGGTAAGGAACTCTGCACCTATCATCATGTACCAAGTCAATCTAACATGGTAAGGAACTCTGCACCTATCATCATGTACCAAGTCAATCTAACATGGTAAGGAACTCTGCACCTATCATCATGTACCAAGTCAATCTAACATGGTAAGGAACTCTGCACCTATCATCATGTACCAAGTCAATCTAACATGGTAAGGAACTCTGCACCTATCATCATGTACCAAGTCAATCTAACATGGTAAGGAACTCTGCACCTATCATCATGTACCAAGTCAATCTAACATGGTAAGGAACTCTGCACCTATCATCATGTACCAAGTCAATCTAACATGGTAAGGAACTCTGCACCTATCATCATGTACCAAGTCAATCTAACATGGTAAGGAACTCTGCACCTATCATCATGTACCAAGTCAATCTAACATGGTAAGGAACTCTGCACCTATCATCATGTACCAAGTCAATCTAACATGGTAAGGAACTCTGCACCTATCATCATGTACCAAGTCAATCTAACATGGTAAGGAACTCTGCACCTATCATCATGTACCAAGTCAATCTAACATGGTAAGGAACTCTGCACCTATCATCATGTACCAAGTCAATCTAACATGGTAAGGAACTCTGCACCTATCATCATGTACCAAGTCAATCTAACATGGTAAGGAACTCTGCACCTATCATCATGTACCAAGTCAATCTAACATGGTAAGGAACTCTGCATCTATCATCTTCTACCTTACAAATGGACAGTGGATAAGCCATTAGTACTGTGTACATACATTTTGGGCGTTCAATTTTTTTTTTTACTAATTACATGTACAATGGATGATTAAATAAAGTAACATTAGTAATATCAATTCACTTGATATCCTAGCTCCTAGGCAATTTATTTTTAAGATCAAGCAATAGGCTATTTTCGTAATGTAATACAATTTAATGCACAAATTATTAGTTCACAGTTATTACAAATAATTGTATTGTCAGAATGTGGATTGGATACATTCCTTGTTAGGTATAGGACAAGCCATAATTTTATTTGATTATACATTGCGAAACAGCTTTACTACATTCTTACAATTATTGCATGTTTCTTTCCCTAACAATCTCATTTAATTGCTATATATCCATCTCCCTGCCTGGATGGAATCCACTCTGCACACATTAGTTGTTGCCATGTTAGGCAAGCTTAAGAGTTGTCAAGAGAAATAATTTTTTTTAAATGTCATAAAATTAGTAAACAGGTCTTTAACATTATGTAGATACACCATTTGATGTAATAGGCAATACAGTGTATATGAGAAATAATACATGTACCGAAAATGTGCCATAATTGCTAATATACACATGGACTAGTAGTAGTTGTATATACAAATAATTGATGAATGCGAGTTCATTAGTGAATAATGCACTGTATGCAGGATAAGTCTCAATTAGGATAATGATTGAGACTTGTGGATTTCATAACCCGTCTCATTGTGACTTCACCTAATGTTAAAAGCATGTATTACTTGTCTACATTATGATAAAGTTGAGAAATTAACTACAAACATAAATAAAATTTTCAGTTATACAAGCACCTAAATAAAATAATTGCAAATATATTTCTATACAACATACATGTATGTATGAACCAAATCTATTCCATCATCGGTAAATAAGAAAATGAGAGTTTATAACTTTGTCAATTTACTAAACACTTTTCGAAGTAACACGGTTACAGCTCATAAAACGTCCCTACATGTACAATCTACATTACAAAAATAAAAATACTGCACCATGTTCTATCTAAGTTGCCAGTTGAATATCAGTTGTTCATTAACATGCAAAAATGTATAGCATATGTATCAAGGATTCATGCATCCAAAAAGGTAAATGTATAATTATAAGGCTGTTGTATACCATGCAAGAAAGACATCAGATAATCATTTCAGTTTACAGAGAGCACTGAATTTTAAAAAGTGGAAGAGCTACAAAGTTGGATATACATGTATTCAAAATAGTACAGGCACATTCAAATATGAAGCAGTGAGCTAGAATAGTCCTCAATAAAAAAAATAATGCACAACAAAGACTTTCAGGCACGTCTTTGCATCACATATTAACCTATGAATGTAACAAGACCAAATGGAAATTTTTTGAAGTAAGAAGGAAATATAAAATTGGCGAGAAGCATTTTGGACAGCTAAAAACAAATCATTCCCTTACATATGAAGAGAAGTATAAGGTCTACATGTACCGGTACTTCATAGAGAAATCACTTTTAAAGAGTACCAATCACAAATAATTTGTGTATGGGTATAATGTATAAAATCAACCTAATACCGGTAAAGTACCCTTTACCTGGTATTCTATAGGTAAATGGTAAGAAATTGAAGAATTAAAAACCGTGTGTATAGGGCATGCACAGAAGCCAAGTTGGACTTGGGTTCCAAATGTGACCTATTCAATGCGAGTGCGTAAGTGTGCGTTATTTAGTCTAGTCAACAAGACGCGTTATTGTTCATAGGGTGTGTATTTAAACTCCAATATCTCTTTGTAGAAGTACTTGAAGCTCATAGATTGTACAGAGTATAAACTACATGACAACCCTTACAATACATCACAATCGAGCAAAACATATTTTAGTGATAGGTACACTTTAAATGGGCCAAGTCTTTATCAGCACCTGTGCTGCTAACAAACGGTCAACCCCTTGCCTACTAGAACCAGGCAGTCTCTGTGTTAAGCCTATGGGAAACACAGAATTCAGTAGTCAAAGGCTTATCATTAAAATGTGTTTACAATTATTGAAAAAAAACATATCAGGCAAGTTTGGCAGTGACACACAATTGCACTGTGCAACGTTGAATTTTTTTCTTCTTGAAATTACTGTTTAACTATTTGATATTGTTGTACTCTAGGTACATGTATGAGAAGTTTTCCATGAATATATTGCTGAGTAATTGCACTCTTGAGAGTTATATGTTGTAAACTCTAAATATCTACTGTAATAATCTGAATATACATGAAAAGGCACAACATTAAATATCCCTATTTGATGGAAAATACTCAATATTTCATTTCTTGAGAATATCAAAGTAGAAAATCACTACTTCAAGATGATATCATACACAAACATGCAGCAAACTTGAGTGAAGAATAAAATCAACCCCCTTTCAGACATTGAAGAGTTTACTGCCAATAAACAAAAATGAAATCCAGACCCCCCCCCCCCCCCCCCCCCCCATTAAAACAAAAAAGTTGCATGCTTTAGCTATTCAATAAACAACATTGATACATGTCAGTATTGTCTTCTATGAATGGCAGGCCAGGAGGCAAGAGGTATCGGTAATTAAATTATATATAAAAAGTCTGACAGCTGCAGGTCCCCACAAGTACTCAATGATCTGTATACACATTATACAGGATTACAGGTACACATTAAAATTTTCATGTCTGAACTGGGCTTGAATCTATACTAGAACTAATGCCAGGTATATAACCTTCAACTCTTTCAAAATGGCTGAAGTTTCTTCTAAAATACATTTTAAATGGGTTTTATAAATCCTGTAAAATTTAACAGTAATAATAACATATCAAATAATTGTGGAACAGGAATTCTAGTGTTTAGAACCCTAGAAATTAGACATACATGTCCACAGGTCAAGTGCCATAACGCCTTTCAAAGAGTTTGCAAAACTTAAGATTTGTAAATCTTTAATGTTAAAAAATAAATCAATCACATATTCTTTTTTTAAAGAATAGAAGTAGATACTGTTACTGCAAGGTATTGCAATGAAAACATTTGTCATTAATTCTTTTTTGGTTGAAGTCCAAAACTCGAGCTATCACCACAGGTTGTATGATTTATACAAATTGATTTCTTCTCATTCATTCTACACTCAATACACACCACTTTGACTGCATATATATTTCTCTATGAAAAATTACCTGGTATCTTAAAAGACAAACAAATATTTGGAAGACACACATCAACATATTTTTATATTACATATACCTTGTATCTTTACAATTTCATTCAAAATATTAACAGTTACAAACGATTACTTTAAAAATATTAAAATCTACATATTTCACGCACCTTTAAAATTTCATTCAAAATATCAGTACTTATAGTACATGACTTTAAAATTAAAAAACTACATGTTTTCATACTTCATGTACCCTGTATGTTATACATTTTCATTTACATACTACTTTTGACATCACTCTCAATATTTGTGCTATGTACATTTAAGGTTGACCTGAGTATAATTTCATATACTTGGTTTATTGATGGATGTTTCGTAATCTCATATAAGATCCTACTTTTGACATCACTCTCAATATTTGTGCTACATGTAAGGTCGACCTGAGTACAATTTCATATACTTGGTTTATTGATGAATGTTTCGTAATCTCGTATAAGATTCTCTTGCTCCACCGTTTCTACAGAGCCAGGCCGTTGGTGGCGCACTTCTGCTATGGCCTCAGCGGCGGACATTTTCTGCATCTTGATGAAATAGCAGGCCACCATGGTCCCTGTCCTCCCCCTTCCACGCAAGCAATGAACAGAAACAGCCTAGAGGTACAAAATAAGAAGAAACTAGATGGAATTTTGACTGCGCGCAGTCGAAAATGATGCCTCCGCCATAGAGCAATTTAAACAAGTTTGGAGTTTAAATCTCCAGTGGTTCTTGAGATATCATGATAACAATCTCAATGTATGGAATTTCATAAGTTGACCTCTGTGACCCTTGACCTTTGACCTACGTGCTCCAAAATCTAATCAGATTGTCTTCCTATGGTGATACACACTATCATTAAGTTTGAAGTTTAAATCTCCAGTGGTTCTTGAGATATTATGATAACAATCTCAATGTATGGAATTTCATAAGTTGACCTCTGTGACCCTTGACCTTTGACCTACGTGCTCCAAAATCTATTAAGATCGTCTTCCTATGGTGATACATACTATCCTTAAGTTTGAAGTTTTTACATCTCCAGTGGTTCTTGAGATATCATGATAACAATCTCAATGTATGGAATTTCATAAGTTGACCTCTATGACCCTTGACCTTTGACCTACGTGCTCCAAAATGTAATCAGATTGTTTTCCTATAGTGATACACACTATCACTAAGTTTGAAGTTTAAATCTCCAGTGGTTCTTGAGATATCATGATAACAATCTCAATGTATGGAATTTCATAAGTTGACCTCTGTGACCCTTGACCTTTGACATACGTGCTCCAAAATCTAATCAGATCGTCTTCCCATGGTGATACATACTATCCTTAAGTTTGAAGTTTAAATCTCAAATGGTTCTTGAGATATCGCGCTAACAAACTCAATACAAGGAATTTCATAAGTTGACCTCTGTGACCTGTGACCTTTGACCTACGTACTCCAAAATCTAATCAGATCGTCTTCCTATGGTGATAAATACTATTCCCGAGTCTTAAGTTTAAATCTTAAATGGTTCTTGAGATATTGTGATAACGGTCAAACGGGACGGACGTACGGACGGACGTACGGATGTACGGACGTACGGACGTACGGACGGACAACCCGAAAACATGATGCCTCCGGCACCACCTTCGGTGGCGGAGGCATAAAAAGTGTTCCATGGTTGTATTTCAGTTGGTCAGCTTATAGTTCTTAAAAATTGGCATCTATTATAGGCCTATACAAATATATCAAAAGTTATACAGTAGGCTTGCAGTTGCACCATGTGATAAAGAGGGAGGATTGGGAACAAGGCTCAAAATACACGGGGGCGGTGGGCGATTTCGCCCCCGTGAGCTGCATAATCGCCTCCGTCAGGTTGCTCACAGGGGCGATTGCAAAATTAAAAATCGCTTTCGTGGAATTATAAATAAAGATGATCTATCAAACGAATTCGTTTTCACTAGCTGCCTGCCGTAGGAAGGAAGGATTGACAATTTAAGACTTAACTCCGTTTCGTTGACAATCAGCCATGCATGAAGTCTTTCGTCTATGGCTGATTGTCAACGAAACGGAGTTAAGTCTTCTGTTAATTTTGTTTGTTGCTATGGCGGGCAGCCAGTGAAAACAAATTCGTTTGATAAAATTATGGAAATGCAAGCACTACTTTAAACAAACAGAACTTTGTAATTCCTTACTCATTTTTCCTGATTGAGGTGTCATATTGAAAGGACAGAAACTCAACTTTCTAGAAATGTGATTTGAAATTCAGATACCGTACGCCAAATTACTTTTGGGTTTCCTCTCTTCAAATTGATTTTAATCACTCATGCGTGAAACATGCATCATATGAGTTGCATCAAATGAAAGAGGAGGGTCTAAGCTTTCCAAATATGTGTCATTTATTAAATATAAATGTGACTAAGTTATGATAAAACATCGATACTTCTCGGTTTCGTTTTTCCTGGGATGCACTATATAGAGGGAGCAAGTAGCTACAAGTAGTGCAGTGGGGCTTTAAAATACAAACCTCATTTTTTTCCTCTGCCTCTTCCATCACCCTCATGAACTCCACCACCTGCTCCAGCGTGGGGGGATGGTAATCATCTATACCAATGGGAACCCAGGTAACATTGGGCGTGGCCTCCACAGGGGGGCGACACTCAGTCGTCAGGGAGACCAGGTAGCGAATGCCGTTGTCTGCTAGGTAGCGCATCTGGTCCGGACAGGAAGGCATCCCATGAGCTGCTAGGTTGCTTGATACCCAGGTGAAGAAAGGAGGTGGGGTGGTTTGACTCATGGTAGAAACGCTAGGAGTGTTGGGGCAGGAGAAGGGGTGGGCGGGCTTCAGTAGCTGTGGAAGAACGAAAGTGCAAATTAATCAATACTCACTTGTAAATCATTGTTATTTAAGGTACAGATAAAATAAATTACCATAGATGCTCAGAAAACTCTGTGCGTGTGCCCGGCCTTGTACTCTAGGCCTAGATTAGACCGAATTTTCCGTCTCTTTCGTTCGTTAGCCTCTTATTGGGGTAGGGTCGGCTCTCTCTTTAGAGACGGAAACCGTCTATACACATTCCCTTGATAACGCCACGGCCATTTCAGGTCGTAGCGTTTTGCCCCCCAAATCCCCCAAAATGTCATTTTACCTCGTGCATATCCACATGTAAATTAGGCCTAGGCTATAATACATCGGTTCCACTTACCAACTTGACTGAAATAATCAGTTTAATAGTCCCTTTTTAGGAAATTATGGGTCAAAATCGAAATCCATTTTGAAAATCTTTTTCAACATGGATTTCGATTTTGACCCATAAATTCCTAAAAAGGGACTATTAAACTGATTATTTCAGTAAAGTTGGTAAGTGGAACTGATTTATTATAGCCTAGGCCTAATTTACAATATAACATGCACGAGGTAAAATGACATTTTGGGGGATTTTGGGGGCAAAACGCTACGACCTGAAATGGCCGTGGCGTTATCAAGGGAATGTGTATAGACGGTTTCCGTCTCTAAAGAGAGAGCCGGCCGACCCTACCCCAATAAGAGGCTAACGAACGAAAGAGACGGAAAATTCGGTCTAGGCCTAGATCTACTCTAATTCGCCTGATTGGCGCAAATCAGCAATTATTGCACCATCTCCCCACACACACACACAGAGCACAAACACACACACACACCTACTGGTAGTACTGGTCACCCAATATTTTACAAGTTGGATCATTTGAGTTTTTTAGCTTCGCATAACCCATAAATGCCCTAGATAGCTAGATTTATAGGCTAGCTAGCCCTGCATGCTGCTCGAAGGCAAGCCGGGCCCGGCGGGTCGGTTCCGGGCCGCTACCGGCCTACCAGCTGCACTCGATCGAGGGTCATATTCATGAGTCATGCATAGACCTCTAAATCCATCATCATAATTATGTTGTTAGAATGAGTTGCCGTAGAGTCTACATCAAAACAACTTTTCAGTTATCTATTTTGGGAGCATAATAATACACCCTGGTGTAATTTTAATCGCCATGATAGATATATTTTACTTACGACAGGATACGAGCTGGCTTTGACTTTGAGCCTATTTAGGGAAGGGAAACTCGCTTCGACTGTATGCTAGGAATGTCTGCTATTTCAACACATTTTGCATTTGAAGCTCTGTTCTGAGTAGTCTCATCCTCGGACGCTTATGTTTATTGCCGATTCGAGAAACATTTTAGACCTACCTCAGTTTATGTTAAATAATATATTGGTTGTGTATTACTTTCTAAAATTTTGCTTTTATTCAGACCCTGTAATGCTGTATAGATTGTACCTGTGTTAGGAACGACAGATTTTACTTTTAGGGAGTGGGCGTACTTGTTGAAAGGATATGTATCCCAAGTCCCTGGTCTATGTAAACAGTTTAGTTTCATGTACATGTGAGGACTCTGAGACTGCATAATTATAAGCCAAGACTTTATATTAATTCTACTGTATCCCACAACCCTCAATGGTGATCAACACCGTCCCCTCCAATCCCTTTTACTAATTGCTTGAATATAAATAAGCAAAGCAAAGTGCTAGTTTTGTTCTCAATTTATTCTGATATTTCTGTTTTAGGTTATCTTGTCTATTCCTTCCCTTTGAAAAAATTAAAAAAAGCTTCTCATCCCATTAGCTTCTTTATCTGCTCAACTAGCTCCATTCTATTCATCTTTTTTTCCTTCTATTAATATCTGAATTTATCAAAAACATAATACCTTGCTTTTCTTTCAGTGTAACAAACGTTCTCTCACTCTAACTCTTCCCTTCCCCTTTCCCCATCTTAGTCTCTCTCCGTAATTTCCTAATCCCCTTCCTCTGTAGCTGTACAACCATATTCCCTGTGTCTCTCTCTCTCTGATATACACCCAACAGTCACTAACACACATTTTCTCTTTCCAGATATCTCATCATTCTTTCCCTATCTCTCTCTCTCTCTCTCTCTCTCTCTCTCTCTCTCTCTCTCTCTCTCTCTCTCTCTCGCAATCCGTCTGTCTATCCGTCCCTCTCTCATACACCCAACAGTCACTAAACACACTTTCTCTCTCTTTCTAGATATCTCATCACTCTTTCCCTCTCAATCTATCTCTTCTTAATACCTTTCTCTCTCCCTCTCTCAATCTGTGTCTGTTTCTCTCTCTCTCTCTCATACACCCAACAGTCAATTAAACACACATTTTTCTCTCTCTTTCCAGATATCTCATAATTCTTTCCCCATCTCTCTCCCTCGCAATCCATCTGTCTATCCGTCCCTCTCTCATACACCCAACAGTTACTAAACACATTTTCCCTCTCCTCTTTCTAGATATCTCATCACTCTCTCCTCATCTCAATCTCTCTCTACTGAATACCTTTCTCTCTCCCTCTCTCAATCTGTGTGTGTGTGTCTCTCTCTCTCTCTCTCTCTCTCTCTCTCTCTCTCTCATACACCCAACAGTCAATTAAACACACATTTTTCTCTCTCTTTCCAGATATCTCATAATTCTTTCCCCATCTCTCTCCCTCGCAATCCATCTGTCTATCCGTCCCTCTCTCATACACCCAACAGTCACTAAACACACTTTCTCTCTCTTTCTAGATATCTCATCACTCTCTCCCTCTCAATCTATCTCTTCTTAATACCTTTCTCTCTCCCTCTCTCAATCTGTGTCTGTTTCTCTCTGTCTGTCTCTCTCTCTCTCATACACCCAACAGTCAAACACACATTTTTCTCCCTCTTTCCAGATATCTCATAATTCTTTCCCTATCTCTCTCTCCCTCGCAATCCATCTGTCTATCCGTCCCTCTCTCATACACCCAACAGTTACTAAACACATTTTCCCTCTCCTCTTTCTAGATATCTCATCACTCTCTCCTCATCTCAATCTCTCTCTACTGAATACCTTTCTCTCTCCCTCTCTCAATCTGTGTGTCTGTTTCTCTCTCTCTCTCTCATACACCCAACAGTCAAACACACATTTTTCTCTCTCTTTCCAGATATCTCATAATTCTTTCCCCATCTCTCTCCCTCGCAATCCATCTGTCTATCCGTCCCTCTCTCATACACCCAACAGTCACTAAACACACTTTCTCTCTCTTTCTAGATATCTCATCACTCTCTCCTCATCTCAATCTATCTCTTCTTAATACCTTTCTCTCTCCCTCTCTCAATCTGTGTGTCTGTTTCTCTCTCTCTCTCTCATACACCCAACAGTCAAACACACATTTTTCTCTCTCTTTCCAGATATCTCATAATTCTTTCCCCATCTCTCTCCCTCGCAATCCATCTGTCTATCCGTCCCTCTCTCATACACCCAACAGTTACTTAACACATTTTCCCTCTCCTCTTTCTAGATATCTCATCACTCTCTCCTCATCTCAATCTCTCTCTACTGAATACCTTTCTCTCTCCCTCTCTCAATCTGTGTGTGTGTGTCTCTCTCTCTCTCTCTCTCTCTCTCTCTCTCTGTCTCTCTCTCTCATACACCCAACAGTCAAACACACATTTTTCTCCCTCTTTCCAGATATCTCATAATTCTTTCCCCATCTCTCTCCCTCGCAATCCATCTGTCTATCCGTCCCTCTCTCATACACCCAACAGTTACTTAACACATTTTCCCTCTCCTCTTTCTAGATATCTCATCACTCTCTCCTCATCTCAATCTCTCTCTACTGAATACCTTTCTCTCTCCCTCTCTCAATCTGTGTGTGTGTGTCTCTCTCTCTCTCTCTCTCTCTCTCTCTCTCATACACCCAACAGTCAATTAAACACACATTTTCTCTCTCTTTCCAGATATCTCATAATTCTTTCCCTATCTCTCTCCCTCGCAATCCGTCTGTCTCTCTCTCATACACTCAACAGTTACTAAACTCACTCTCTCTCTCTCTATATTTCCAGATATCTCATCACTCTTTCCTCATCTCAATCTCTCTCTCTCTCTCTCCCAATCTCAATATATGAGTCTGTTTGTCTCCCTCTCTCTCTCCCCCCAACAGTCACTAAACACACACATTTTTTTCTCTCTCTCTTTCTCAAGATATCTCTTTCCAGTTATCTCATCTCTTTCCCTATCTCTCTCTCTCTCCCTTCTCTCTCTCTCTCTTTTTCTTCTTCCCTCTGTCAACCACTATCTATGATTCCAACTCTTTCTCTCCCTCTATATTCTCTGTCTCTCCTTTCAACGTACATGAAGATAGAAAGAAACACAGAACCTTGTTCGTTTAGTTCAATAAATCATTTATTATAATAATTATAGCAACATACTGCACAACAACAGCAATGTATGGGGACCATACTCACAAAAAACATTTCTAAAAGAGTGGTGTCACACAAAAGACCAATTACTGAATCATCTGGAATTCAAGATACATCATTCAGCAAAGTTCAGATAGAATTTTACTTTTTCATCTTGAATTTTGGGAAAAAGTTTTTTTAAATAATTTTTTTCCCATTTGAAAAGAAAAACAGAAATTGGCTCTTGCTCAAAAGGTGTCACTTCAACCACACTGTCATGGTCAAGCCGATATCATTTTGACCATAACATATTTTGTTTTGAAGAGGATGGCTGTGATGATACAGGTTTGTTGTATTTCTGATTGGTCACTGTGGTACATTCTGTAGATGATCCCATGTTGGTTGTCCTGGTGCTCACCATGCAGTGGAGTCCCCTCTGTACAATATTGCATGATGAACACTCCTCCTATAATACACCTGCACAGAGAGAGAGAAACAAGGAAATGATCTTAAACTTGTGACAGGTAGTAGGGTTGTCGACCCCTTAAGCCAGTAAGATATCACAACATTAAACCTGATTTTTATTTAACCTTTTAATCAACCTTTATTTAAGGATTACGTTTCCTTTCAGGTTGCAGCCTATTCAGTTTATGTTAAGTCCTTGTCCAATATGTTCTTAACATGCATTTAATGTTTAATATATCCGATCGTTATATGTAATGTTGTCTTTCTGAATGAAATAAAATTAAATTGAATTGATTCATTCACCAGTCAAAACTCAAAACAGAATGACGTTTTGTGAAAGAATGTATTAACAAAGGAGATAATGTGTATGTAACTGCACGGTTTTCCAATTACACTACTAAATACATGAAAGAGTGCGAAGTTATTAGCTACAGCCTACAGCCAATATTTAACACAAATGCTCTTGTGAAGAAGCAATGACTGCTTTTATTTTATTGTCATGTCAATTTGAATACCAACTCCAAAATTATACCTTACTCCCAATAGTTTTCAGTTTGGAAATTCAGAGAAGCACAAGAAGAAGAAGAAAAAGTGAACCAAATAAATTTAGCAAATGGGAGATCAAAATTATGGACATTAGTTGGGGCAGCTATTAATTTTACTTTCATATTTCTCAGGCATTACACATGTTCTTTTGAAATGATTGTTCAGCTAATTTCAGCGATCATTTGGTACTTCAAGATTCATTCTGGAAGAAGGGTAAACAAATTCCTGCCGAGAAGCCTAATCTCACCTGAATTGAAAAAGTTTTGCTAACTAGAAACTTGGATGACAAGGTTATTCTGCCTCCTCACTGAGCGGTCTCGCTGACTGGAATACACCTAGCTCTCTCATCCTCTCAAAGTCAGCCTGGGCATCGTACGTCTTGTAGAACTCCGTGTACAACTTTTTCCTCGCATCGTACACTGGTTAGATAGTACATGTAAACAAAGTACAATGGAAAAGGGTTATGGATTGGATACAGTCATACAGCTTCTCAGACAGCTCTGCACTTAGTGACCAGTGCAGGGGTGATAGTGAGCACTTTTTTTTCTCCCTCAACCGTCCCCCCCCCCCCCCTTGAGTAAAAAAAAAAAGAGGAATTGGGGAGAAAACATGGCATCTAAAACATTCCCCCCTTTAGAGTAAGAAAAAAATGGGAAAAATAAGGGGAAAATAGGGGTAAAATCGGGAAGAAAAAAAAGAAGAAGAAAAAAACATCGGGAGAAGAAAAAAAAATCAGGTGATTATCAGGCCTGCCAGTGTGACCTGATGTTGACAACATTACTGAACTACATTCAGGCCTGACTACATTTGTTCAATAATAATTCATTATATATTCATGCTTTTGAGGAAT